TACAGTGCTGCTGTGGCGATTCGAAGAATGATGAAAGCTTGCACCAAAGAAATTCCTCGGCCTTTTCACAAGACCGGTAGGCTCCAGAGTCAACCGAACGCCCGTATAAATTGCGAACAATAAAGAAAGAAAAAAATCCACCCTCAAAATACTCAGTGACACAGCTGCAGAAGATGAATCAACGGGTGCGGAATAGAAATTCTTGGAGCCAATGAGCACATGAAAAGTGCCTGTTTGAAGAATTGCTGCTGAGGAAACAGCCAGTGAAAGCACCAAAATCACACGATGGGCGCGTCGAGAGCTTCGTACCAGGCATCCACGAGCATAGAAACGCCCATTTATCCAGTCAATATCCACTCGCCCCGCTGATATTGCGTAATGGAAGCAACATGCGCAACAGAGGAGCAGCAAAAAAGTTGTTCTAGCCAAGCCATGTCGGTCCCAGCCTGTGATGTCCAGCATGCCAGGGCACTGGATCAGCGCAAACAGGTAAAGTAATACGGCCATTAAATGGCGCGCAAATAATATCCAGGAAGACTGGATGCTTGCGATACAGCTTTTTCCACAGTCCAGGATAAAACGGCCCAGTGATGGATCGCTAGCCATCGTGCGAAGGAGCAAAGAAAGCAGCAGTGATTCCAAAAGGCTGTACGAGATTTACAGAATTCTAACCATAAATAACAGGCTGGAGAGAATTCGGAAACTGCAAATTAGGAAACCATGAGAATACTGAATAAAAATATGAATCGACTTTGTAAAAGAAGGAAACAGTAGCAACAGGGTGGCAATGTACACAGCAGCAGCAGCAGCGGTTAGTTATTAGTGCGTCAGGCAATCAACCAGGATCATATCAGTGGCCGATATCACAACCAGCGGCAATGTTTACCAAGCGCCCGGTTCATTGAACAGAGAACAATACCGCCTCACCGAGAATCACTCAATATTTAGGCAGAGCGATACGAAGCAGTGCGCCGACAAATTTTTTACAGCTCCTCTTTTCTCAAATGCCCATCACTCTGATAAGCAATCATTTCGTGGTTGTGCACTTTTATACTATCGATGCAGCTCGAAATTCCCTGCAGTTGTAGTGATCAAAGTTCCACCAGTGACCGAACAGCCAACCGGAACTGGCTTTCAATTCCAGGCTTTCTTCTCCCATTGTTCCAGGAAGAAACACCCAAAGAGTTGCATTTCTGCTTCCCTTAGTTCATTTAAATACAATCTTTCTGCATTCTTAATCATCGGCCAACAGTCCTCTTTCGCCTAACAACAGGTATTCTTTTCATGCTATTTCATATTGAGCCACAAGACGAGGTGCGCATAGATATTTTCTCCAGTGATACTCATAATCACATACCGGGTCAGCTTTAATTCATAATCTGGCTCTCCAACTACGCAGCTGGCAACGTCTCCAGCTGCCTTGATCACTGTTGCATCCCCTGACTGGTAAGTTGTTGGTGATCTTAACGTTTGCTTCGTTTCTTGAAGGAATCACCGGTTCAATAGTCTTCCAGACAGATGCACCTGACAAGGCTTTTTGATTTCGAGACCCCCTTGAAATCTCGAGGCCAAAAAGTTTTACCAAAGTGTC